AGAGAGAGACAGAGAGGACACACACACACAGAGAGAGAGAGAGACAGAGAGAAGAGAGAGGACACACACACAGAGAGAGAGAGAGGACACACACACACACAGAGAGAGAGAGAGAGAGAGAGAGAGAGAGAGAGAGAGAAAAAGAGAGAGAGAGAGAGAGAGAGAGACTCATTTGTTTGGTGGAACACAAGGGCTCCTCTGCTTTACACACACAGGCTACACACACATGAAAAAGAGTTTAAAGAAAGAACAAATGCCAACAGGAAGTGAGTAAAGAGGAATCTCATACACAGCGGATGGGACGTAACTATAGAAGTCAGTGTAGAGGGTCCTCAAAATGCTGAAAGTAGAATTACTATATGACCCAGCTATACCATTGCAGGTTTTTAGCCAAAGGACTCTATAACCTATCGCAGAGATATTTGCACATCCATGTTTATTGCTGTTCTGGTTCCAATAACTAAGAAAAGGAACCAGCCTATCTATCCATCAGCAGGGGCATGGATAGAGAAGGAGTGGTACATGGGTACAATGAAAGTTTATTCACCTAAAAGAAATGAAGCTATTACTGGAATGTTATGGTGAGTGAAATAAACCTGGCCGTGTTTGGATTATTTCACCAGAAAACTCTTAGCTCTGATAAACATTTTTAGTAAAGTTGTAGGACATAACATCACCACACAAAAATCAACAGCCTTCCTGTAGACCAACAATAAGCCCACCAAGAAAGTAATGTGTTTTTATATATACAGAATCTGAACTTGAATGTGTGGGTGGTTATTTGGTGGTGGTTGTGAAGGACAAGAAACTAGAAAGGGGGCCATAAAAATGGGAAAAGAGATGTTAAAAGAAGAGGAGAAAGTGGGGAAAGCAAGGGTAATATAATTCCTGGGATGTGAAGGCAGAAGGAAGAGATTGAGGAGATAGCTCAGCTGGTGAAGGCTCTTGCTAGCGTGCCCAACAACTTGAGTTGGAAGGGAGGGAAAGAAGGAAGGAAAAGAGAGGCTATTGGGAAGGAGAATGGGGCTTATGGAAGCAAGGGGTGGTGAGAGCAGTGGTGGAGGGGAACAATTAAGAACAAAGTATAATGAAATGCAACAATGAAACATGTTATTATGTGTGCTAATTGAAGAACAACTAACAGGAAAAACAAATGACGCTTTTGATACTCTATGGAGGGTAAATGCAACAACTGAACAACAGAACTCATACTGTATAATTTATTGTTCATAAGTAAGGAACTCACACGATCCTTTCAATGAATTTACTTTTATTAAGCACATACTTCATGTGTATCTCCTCTACACAGCATGAAAAAAAAAAAGACAAATAAGCCTTGATCTCAGTAGAAGCAGAAAACGTTTGATAAAATCTACTCCCAGTTCTTAACAAACTATGATTAAAACAGAATTCTTCTGTTAAGGTGTTCATCCAAAAACAAAGCAAAACCATTATCTATGATGCTAAAACAGGAGCAACTCTCTAATCAGTCTCAAGTACAAGAAAACAATTCTCAAGGTCTGGGCATTAGATTAATTTAAAAATGAAATGTATAAAATTATATAAAAATTCTTCCCCTTCAAGATGAAATAACTAAATATACTTTAAAAATTCAATACTATCTATAAATAAGACACTAAAACTAGGAATACAGTTCAACAACCGATATAAAAAAAAAAGAAGAAGAAGAACATGCAAAATACCACAGCAGCCTATGTACTGGAAATAGTCAAGTGGTAAGTCTGCTTGACACTTGTAGCAGCAGCCAACAAAGGCCACATGTGCTTGTCACCAAGAGCAAATGCAGATGTTCTGGAGACAGCCTAGCCATGGTTGCAGTGTTACCGAACTCATGAGCTGGAAGGAGGGCAACCAGGGAGACACAGACATTTGTACAGCAGACATATTCATGTAGCTATGCTTTGGAACAGGTACTCGTGCTGAGAACTCATCACAAATCTACTCTCAGTTTCTTGACCCATAGCTTCCACACTTGGAATATATTTCTAGACAATAAACAGGTACTGTGTCGACAGCATTTACTGCATTTCCCGCCTTTCCTCCCTCCAGATCCTCCCAAATCCGTGGCCTCTTTTCCTGTAAATACTATAGTCACACAAATGAACATGTAAATACAACCTGCTCAGCTCCTTCAGTGTTGTATGTTTTTATGGCTGACCACTTGGCATCAGAAAACCATGTAGAGGACTCATCCCTGGAGAAGACCGAGTCTCCCTCTCTCGGCAGTCATTAATTAGCTCTTCATTTACCATTCTAGGATTCTTTAAATGGTAATAAAGATGTGATAGAGTATCCTGGGGTTGTTCTCTCTCCCTCTCTCTTCCTCTCTCTCCCTCTCCCTCTCCTTTTCCTACATCTCCCTCCCCCTCCCTTCTCTTTGTGTGTTTGTGTATATATGTTCTTTTATTTTGTTCTGTTGGAACTTATGTTCTTTGCTGTTGATGGATACAACATGAAAAGCAGGGGGTCAACTGACAGCTTGAAAATAAGTCAAAAAAAAACAATTTCAGAAAGAAATAATCTTTGACCACAATAATTTAATATCTACATCTCTCAAAACTCTTACAGCTAATCCTACAATTACCTTTCACAATCTAAGGCATCTTTCCTGACATTCTGTCACTTTCTTCTGGGTATGTGCCACAGATTCTGTCCATCACCTACTGGGTCATTGACAATCTCACAGTGTGACACTTCAACACCATGAGGGCTGAATGACAGAGCTGCTTTGTCTAGCAATGTGAATAATTTCTTATCATCAGTCCCCTCACGGATAGGGTTGCTTGACCATTGGGCAACTAATCTAAAGCAGCCGTGTTAACTATAGTCTATGCACATAGCTGAGTCCAATAAGCATCTTCAGATGTCCCAACTATCCTAGGATGTCTATGTGTATATGTCTATTGTGGTACCCAGGTGTCTTTAGATTCTTTTTATAAAAATGACAAAATCTAATCCCCAATTAAAATCATAGAAAACAGTGGTGAACATTATGGTTATAATTCATTAATTGAGTCCCAAATTGTAGGAAGATCCTTTATCAACATGATAAAGAAAACAGGTTTGGTCTAAGTCCATTTGGCTCAAAATTCCAACCCCATCGCTTACCTCTCTGAGACAGTTTTTTTTTTCTTTTTTAGAGTAGGGATAACTGAAATATTTACTCAATGCATTTGTTGTGATGGTTTAAATGGGATGGTGTATGTGAATGGTTTAGCATATGACATAGTGTGAGATTCATGCTTGTATATCTGACCTTTAAAGAACAGAGTCTTGGGTAACTCCAGTGACCTTACAGCAGAGGCTCTTGCACACCCTGGCTGCCAGTAAAAGATCATTGCATCCTAGAATCTCTCCTTGAGTTTCAAATTCCTCAGAGAGTCAATGTTCTACCATTGGCCCTATGTTCTTTTCTCTACTGCATACTGGACCAAAGGAGCGAATACCAACCAGGGTTAGGAAGGACTTTGAAATACCACTCTGAACAAGTAGAGTTTAGTTTCTGGAAGAATGATAAAGACAGACTGAGAAGAAAAGCAGACTGTGTATAATGGCTAAATGCAGGAGTTCACAAGTTTGTCTTATCCTCTGAGTGTGGCCAAACTGGTATCATCCCAAGAAAGTAACTCTCCACTTGTTGAAACACCTTTAATAGAAGAAGTAAGGATTTGTAGAGAGGCTGCTCTCCAGGCACACTCAGCATCCAGGCACTGCTTACCCACTTTTCCATCATTCTGGTACTTAGTCCATTATTTGAAACACTACAAATATTTTCTTAGCATTCTTCTCACAGCCGCCTTCACTTCCTTGTTCTTCAGGCTGTAGATGAGGGGGTTCAGCATGGGAGTGATGACACTGTACTGCAAAGAGAAGATCAGCTCTTGAATGGATCCTGAATTTGGCATGAGATAGCGGAGTAACCCTGAGCCATAAAAGAAACTCACTGCTGTGAGGTGGGATGAACAAGTAGAAAAGGCCTTGCTTCTCCCGGAGGTGGACCTTATTCCCAGAATGGTGAGCAAGATGCGAAAGTATGAGAAGAGAATGAGGAGGAAGTTTCCAAAGAAGTGGATGAAGCTGGAGCAGAGGAGGGTGGTGAAGCTTGCAGACACATCAGAGCAAGACAAAGGATAGAGAGAGGGCAGCTCGCAGATGAAGTGGTGGATGCTCTGTGCCTCACAGAAATCTAAACTCAGAGCAACAAGGATATTGATGAGGGCATCCAGAAAAGCCAAACCCCATGAGCCCCACACCAGCCCTACACACAGCTGTCTGTGCATCACTTGACTGTAGAGCAGAGGAGAACTTATGGCCACATAACGATCATAGGCCATCACTGCCAGGAGGCAGGACTCAGTTCCTCCAGTGGCAAACACAAAGAAGACCTGAGCCAGGCAGCCTTCCACGGAGATGCTCTTCTTCTCAGACAGGAGGTTCTCCAAGAGCTTCGGCACCGTGACAGAGGAGTGGCAGAGGTCCAGGAAGGACAGCTGTCCCAGGAAGAAGTACATGGGAGTGTGGAGGTGGGAATCAATCTTCACTACCAGCAGCAGCATCAGGTTCCCCATGAGGGTCAGAAGGTAAATCGCCAGGAAGAGCACAAAGAGCAGAGCCTGGATCTGGGCATCACCAGAAAGCCCAAGGAGGATGAACTCCAACACGGTGCTCTGGTTCCTCATTGCCCTTGATAGTTCTTTTAAATTGGTGGTACCTCTTCTTATGCCTAACAAACATGGATGTGTCTGTCCCTCTTTCTCAGTCAGTTTCACGGTACTTAAAAATCAGTGCTAAAAAATAAAATGATTAACGCGCTTAGGTCACTGGTGTGGAGCCTCGGCATCTCTAAAGATATCACCTTAAGGATGGGAAAACTTCTTCCTCAGACATGAAGGCCAGAGTGAAAATCTTACAAGGACATTTTTCAGATGGGACAACTTGAAAATTGTGCTCTGTCTGGAACCAGATGTGAGAGTTAGAGCTTTGTGAAATTAACAGGATTAAAATCATCACTTTTTTTTTAAACCTGGCACTGCAATTTCACTACTCTCAGAGCTTCACTTATGCAGATTCCTAGGCCCAGTTTTCAGTGGAAATGACTCTGAGACTGTTGCCACCGTACACTTGGCTATTGTCACAATTATAGTCTGAGTGGCTCTTTTCCTCAAAGGACCTGCCTGGAGGACACACAAAAGTATCTGGCTCTGTAAGTGGCTCAATGTTTCTCAAAATGTATTATCTCTAAATAAAAAAAAAATGTATTGATGAGTGAATGGGCATATGGATGACTCTGGAGAGAACAGCCTGTAGAGCACAAGGCAGAATGCTGATGTGAGTAAGGACCTACAAGGGATTTTGCACAGCAATGGCTTGCATTTGAGCAGATGTTGCAAAGGCAACAGACAAAAGTCTGTCAACTGGAAAGATTTGTACCATTTTCTGTAATGTCACAAACCTCAGAGCTACAATGAGCAGGCACACAGATAGTTCCATGTATGGCTACTTACTGCACCTTGTGAGTTTGGAGTTCTTTATGAATCATAGGTTTCCCTAAGTCTACCACCGATGTCCTCATCTATGCCACCCCTGGTCCATGCATGGCTTTCTCCTACTAGCCTCCCTGAACCTGCAGATCTCAATCGGTGCATGTGTGAAGATGGAAGCTAAAACCGAGCTACTCTGGAGGGGGTTGCTGATTTGATTCTGGTACTAAAGACAGAGAGGTGCTGAAGAGTTACCCAGCTTTGTTTCCTCACCCACAACTCATATTTAATCTTCTTTAAAGGAGGAAGAGAAATTATCCTGAGGAACAAACCAAAGCTTCTTACATAACAGAAGTGACTTTCTGTACCAGAGAGGAGGCTACGACTGCTAGCACAAGAACTAAACTGTGGATAGGAGGGCTAGGCATCAGGGAAAGTACCTGGTCAGAAAAGGCTAATGGTGGACACGGGGAAAACAGCAGCAGAGAAAACCACCAGGGGAGGGAGAAAGGGGTCAGAGGAGAAAGCATTACCGTGCTTCATCTCCATCTCACTGTGCAGGTGTCTTCCATTTTCCTAAGGTGTTTGGCATGTCTCTGAATGTCAGAGAAAAGCATAAGGGACTGTGTAGAACCATCCTATCCCAGGGTCTGACATTGCCATTTTCTATTTCCTGCATGAAGACATGCGCTCAGCCCTCAGATAAGCCATTCTGAACTTTGACAGCATGAATGGTCCCTTTGTAGGTTTAACTACAAAGAAAAGGAAAACCTTAAAATGTCAAGCTCCTAATGAGTATCACAGCAAAGTTTTCATGCTCCCTCCAGTACAATCACACAATCATCTCTCTTTGACTGCTAATATACTGGTAAGAGTGCCATCCTGCTGAGGCAGCTCAGGTCTGGCCATTAAGAAGGGCCACTGTGCTAAGGTGGCCAATGAGACAGACAAGCAATGACCTGAGGCCATGACCAAGGGCCACTGTGCTAAGGTGGCCAATGAGACAGACAAGCAATGACCTGAAAGCCCAGGGGACAGCCGGGTCTCCTGGTTGCTAGAAAGTGCCTCGTGGGGTGATTTGTACTCTTTGGCTAAAATGGTTACTAAGTGATTACCCTGGGAATTCTCATTGAGGTTAAGTGATTCACAGCTTATTTTTAAACCATCTTCCTAATGCTATATATAATTAATACTATATATAATACATGTAAATAATACTACACTAATACTAATACTATATATAATACATATAAATATTATATAACATAATAATTATTTAGCTGGTGATAATTTGCATATTTCAGCATATTCGCTTTTTTTACTCAACTCATCTGCATCCAGAATTGAAAAGCTCAGTAGCTAAACCAAGATCACAGCAGATGATGTTGACACCAACTCCACACAGCTGCAGGTTCTAAGAAACCAGGAGTTGGGTTTGAGGGGAACAACTCTCCCCACCTTCATGAAGAGCATCTCTCTTCAAGGTTCTATTTAGTGGGAGTCTTCTAGTAATGTTCACCTCTATATGACTCTATTCTTGTGGTTTTTACCATTTTAATCATCCATATTTATGGGTTATCATGCAGCAATCTTATGTATGTGATTACACGTGTGCATGGCGTGTAATGATCAATGGACACAAACTCCTACTGAATAATTCTTTTTAGACCAAGTTGCATTATGTAGCGCTGGCTGACCTGGGACTCGGAGATCCATCTGCCTCTGCCTTCCAAGTACTGTGTGTCACCATGTCTGGCCTAATGGGTAACTTTAAAAAATATATTTCGAAGATATCATCTTATTATTTCTTTGATTGACAGACATTTCTCTTAAGAAGTCAGTTTGGGCCATATTGAACTCGAGTTGGAAGAGGCGAGTCCGGTCTCAAAATGGAGGTAAAACCGCTGCCCGGTCGCCGCCGCCGCGTGGGGGAGGAGGGTCATGATCCAAAGGAACCAGAACAGTTGAGGAAGCTGTTTATTGTTGGTCTGAGCTTTGAAACTACAGTTGATAGCTTAAGAGGACATTTTGAGAAATGGGGCACACTTACAGACTGTGTGGTTTTGAGAGACCCCCAAACAAAACGTTCCAGGGTTTGGTTTTGTGACCTACTCTTGTGTTGAAGAGGTGGATGCTGCAATGTGTGCTCGGCCACACAAGGTGGATGGCCGTGTGGTGGAACCAAAGAGAGCTGTTTCCAGAGAGGATTCTGTAAA